ACGAACATTTATCACTATGTTTTGTGCAATGTCTCTTTTTCTCGTTTTATTATTATATTTTTTTGTCGTCCTCTTTGTCTGTTTTCTCTGTCGCTCTCGGAGATTCTCTGGCGTGGTTAATAAAGGGGGAGTTATCTATATATGATAGATTATTGGTCGTCAGTATGCCTTAGTGGAGAGCTGAGAGGAAAGCGGTCGGTTTGTCATCTCATCCTCCCTCTCCTCTCTCTCTCTCTCCCTCTCTCTCCTCTCCCCTCATCCCTTTTCTCTCTCGCTTACTCTCTCTCTCTCTCTCTTCCGCTCCTCTCTCTCTCTCTCTCACCCTTCATCTCCTCTCCCTACATCCCCTCTTCCCCTCCCTCCCTCCCTCTCTCTCTCTCTCTCTCTCTATCTCTCTCTCTCTCTCTTCTCTCTCTCTCTCTCTCTCTCTCTCTCTCTCTCTCTCTCTCTCTCTCTCTCTCTCTCTCTCTCTCTCTCTCTCTCCCTCTCTCTCTCTCTTGCTCTCTCGTTCTCTCCCTCTCTCTCAAAAAAGATAATCTTCCTGTCATTATATCTTATGTTCTATTACAAAATTATTCGCAAAGCCAAGATGTGACAGATGCAACGTAAGAACTGTTATTACGAATATAGCGAGAGAGAGAGAAGAAAGACTTGCGAAGGTTCCAGCCTATGTTTGTTTCATACATCGATCGCACACTTTGGCCAGGCGAGTCCATTCCAGCGCGCGCGGGGGAGGCCGCATCGGCTGTTCTCGGAAAGACGGTTATGATTGGAACATCTTTTGGACTACAGGTAGTTGGCGAACGTTCCTTTAATTCTAACATATCTCCTGCACATCTGTTAAAGACGAAAGTATGATTTAAGGCCAGGAAGAGAGAGTCAATGGAGTGGCCACACGACGAGAAAAAAGGAGAGGGGGCAGGGCTCTAGATATGTGACTTAGATACATATTTCTCCATTTTTTTCAAAGTATGAGGCGGAAATTAGAGAAATGAGTTGCTCAGAAGCACCGCTTTATTGTCAGAGTCCAACACACCTTCCTGTTCGCTTTCTCCGCCGACCTCACTGGCCTAGATTTCGTTGTTCAATGTGTACTTATCAATGGCACAGTGTTCCCTGTATTCTTGGGAAGCATCGTGTGTTCAGGCCTTCAACCTGTCATGTTTATGAGGTGTAACAGAGACTCATCAGTGGCAGCGTCTGGTGATGCCTCGCAGAGCTGTTCGTCTTGTCATGGCCTGTGTGCGCCTGTGACATTTGCAGCGATTCTGGGATTCGGCGAGGGAGTCACTCATGCAGGCCACTTTTGCCTCAGAACCGAGGCCGCTTGTAGCCCACGGCCGTCCATGTAGGACTTTTCCGCACATGCCTCCCGACTGGAGAGCGAGGGGGCTTCTGGAAAGTGATGAGCCCGGCGCTGTCTTATAGGCCTATCGTCTGCCTCACGGGGAGGAAGGAGGCCAAAGCTTCCTCTTGGAAAGCCCCAGAACCGGGGGCAAGGGGGCTGGGGGAAGCAAGTTCTGGCTCCTATAATCCGCAGGGAACTTTTCCCCTGAGAAGATTAGTGGCCCCTAGGGAAGGGGACTACTTGTCACCCTGAGATGGTCAGTAATCAGAAATGACTCGCCATCACGGGGAAAGTGCGTGGGGGGAGGATGAGGCGAGTGACACTGCGGGGGGCGGGGGCTCCGTGACCTGCGAGAATGATGTAGGAAGCCCGAAATGACCTGGGGATCTCAGGACGAGAGAGAGAACTGCCGGAAGAGGGGGGGGAGACTTCCTCAAGGAGGGCTGCAACAGAAGGGCGGGTGGCGGTCGCTGTCAAATCTATCTCTCTTGAATACTTACTTCCTCTTGGCTCTGTCCACTCGGCCATAATCCATCCTAAAGCTGTAGACTACATTTCTTCCGAGATGCCCAGGACTCATTCTGGTTCATTCTCTCTCTCTCTCTCTCTCTCTCTCTCTCTCTCTCTCTCTCTCTCTCTCTCTCTCTCTCTCTCTCTCTCTCTCTCTCTCTCTCTCTCTCTCCGCCCGCTTCTCTCTTTCTCTATCCCTCTCTCCCCTTCCCCCCTCTCTCTCTCTCCCCCCTCTTTCTCTCTCTCTCTCTCTCGCTTTCTCTCTCTCTCTCTCTCTGCCTCACTTTCTCTCCTTCTCTCTCCTTCTCTTTCTCTATGCCTCGCTCTCTCGCTCTCTCTGTCTCGCTCTCTCTCGCTTGCTCTCTCTCTTCCTCTCTCTCGCTCTTTCTTTCTTTCTCTTCCTCTCTCTCGCTCTTTCTCTCTTTCTCTTCCTCTCTCTCGCTCTTTCTCTCTTTCTCTTCCTCTCTCTCGCTCTTTCTTTCTTTCTCTTCCTCTCTCTCGCTCTTTCTCTCTTTCTCTTCCTTTCTCTCGCTCTTTCTCTCTTTCTCTTCCTCTCTCTCTCCTTCATCCCCCCTCTTTCATTTTCTTCTTCTTCCTCTCTCCCTCCTCGTCTTGGTCTGCTTATCTATCCACCTCTCTTGC